TATATCGACGATTTCATTTAGTTGAACTATATCGGTTGTTACAGCTTGTGACATTCACATCTAATATTGTTTGGTCTTTATAATTCTATGACGATTTCATTTGTTGAACATACCGGTTGTTACAGCTTGTGACATTCACATCTAATATTGTTTGGTCTTTATAAATTATATGACGATTTCATTTGTTGAACATATCGGTTGTTACAGCTTGTGACATTCACATCTAATATTCTTCGGTATTTATACATTAGATCGATGTTTCCCAAACGTGTTTAGTCTGAGGCTCCCTTGATGTGAATAAAAAGTTCGAGACCCCCAACCTATAACTTTATTATGGTGATTGAAAAACAGTGCTGTAGTAAAAACAATAACACTTCCTTTCGACATACTGTATCATTAATTAATTCAACATAATTTTTATCGGCTTATTGTTTATTTGGAATTAAAATTAATTCAGCATCTTTGTTCTCGGCCCATTTTTTTTGGCGGCCCAGTGAGGCCGCGGCTCCCACTTTGGGAAACACTGTATTATATGACGATTTGATTTGTTGAACATGTCCGACGTTACATCACATGCCATTTACATTTAATTGGGTTTAGTCTCTTTACATCGTAAGACGATTTTTGGTTAACCGAACATAGCAACCGTTAGAAACTCACGAATATAGCTTAGTATATTCAACCTTGTCGGGACGCAGCTTTCAACACAATATCTTGTTAATTAATTTTTTTGAAAATAGTGAAAACTCAGATATAGAAAGTTGCAGGTCACGGTTTATACTTTTACAGTTAGCACAGATTCCCCTTCGATATATACGTGCTTCTTATGTAGGGAGTGAGCGTTTCGACGAAACGTTGAAAACTAGTTAAGGCTATATGATACAAAGTTTCTAAAACAAGGCAGTTGTTGCACTGATTTTTTGTATTACATTGTGCCCTGATGTTTTTCAGTTAAAATTCGTTTTTTTTTATCAAATAATTTACTTCAGTTAGCAAATGGCACATTAAAAAAAAAAGCAGAAATCTCTTCATGCAATTTGTATTTATTATTTTTTTATTGTGAAACCTGCACCCTATAAAACAGCAATGCAAAGGTTGCTTGTTTGAGTGCTCGGTATTTGGAATACCTAAACCTACTCGACACGAAAGATTAACTTCACTTATGTTACACGAGCACGTGAATTATTCACGAGGGACAAGTGACGTGGGGAAATATGTTGACCAAGTAGGTTTAGTAGTCTCTTGCCTGCAGTTATAACCATGATTACATCTGATTTGTTGTTGTGGGAGTGAACACGTTCGCCATGTTTTGTGTAGCTTTATATGCAAACAATCTGTGGTCTTCCACTCAGTAAAAAACGTTTATGAACGTTATTTACTTGAATTCGTTTCTGTATGTAAAATGCAACCGGTATTAAGAAATTTTACAAACAGCAATGAATAAAATATTCTTCTTTGTTGATAAAATGTGCTGTATGATGTTAATAGCGTATCCTACTGCAAGTGAATACAGATCTCCTTTATTACTCTGTAATATTTCCGACAAATATAAGTTAATTACGGTCCTTTATTACTCGGGAATATTTCGGAAATATTTCCGACAAATATAAGTTAATTACGGAATAAATTTGAAGAGAACTGTTTTTATTATGTTTTTTGCGTATATAGGTGCATACATTGTTACCTAATTTTGTATGGGTTGAAGATGTAGCCGAAATTAATAGGGACATGCTACTGTACCAGTTACACTATCTATCTTCTTGACA